AACTGGACGGTAAAACCGACAAAATTAGCCTCTACTGCATGACTGCAGTTAAGTTTCCATCAATCCATAAAAATAAATGCATTTTCTTGTGCTGAACACCAGGGGGCATAGTCCGTATATTATGCAGAATTTTGGACACCAAACAAAACTGTGTGACAACAGAGGTGGATGTTAATAACTTAGGACAGGACAGGGCTAGCTGTTTCACCTGTTTTGAATCTAAATGCTAAGCTAAGCGAACTATTTCCTAGCTATAGCGTCATAAAGAGAGCTGTATCGATCTTTCATTTCAATTCTTGGCAAGAAAGTGAACAAGCGCATTTCCCCAAATGTCGTAATCTTCTGGTAAGTGTAGGAGGTGGTGAAGTAAAAGGCAAACTGAGTATCAGCTGATGCAGAAGCAGGCTGAACACTTGAATGTCACCTCGGTCATGACAGGGCGGGACAAGGACAAATACTCCAGTTCAAGTTTGTCTGTGAGGTTAACTAGTTGTCGAAGTAGTAAAGCATTGCTGTAATCGATTCGTGACAGAAAACAACAGGTATTGGCATGCTATGATTGAATAATCACAGTGTAGCCACAGAAAAAAAAAACTGTCGACATTAAATTGGCACCGTAAAGCTACCAAGCCGGTCTAGCAGGTCTAATAATAATGTTTCCATTATAGGAGGAGCTATGAGTCATGTTTGTTCCCGGTTTGCTGCATTTGAGGAGGAGCTAAAAGAGGTGAAGGTCATCATGTGACACAACGTTCATCACACCTCCTCTTCCCTCTTTCCCTCCTCTCATGTTTATGGGCCAAATCTCACTGAATAATTGTACCGACAAGCAGAGACACAAAGATGCAGGAGATGATAATACATGTTTTCATTCAAGGGAAAGATTAGTCGCAGTGTGATCTCGCCAGCTCATGCATTAAAAAAAAGCGAGAGAAAGGAAATTAAATTCTACCCTCCTCTGGGTTTTTGATGGTAAATGCTCTGCATCGCCAAACTAAGTTGATGACTGAGCCACAGCTCTAAGAGAGTTGGGGGCCCTGGGAGAAGGAGGAGAAACGGTAGTCATCAATTTGTCTCATCTCTCCAATATTTTTGCTAGGTGTCATCAGCCGTGAGAGATTCAAAGCAGGAGTGAGTCAGTTCTTCATCACAGGGATACGAGCAGCAGAAGCCAGTGGAGACTCTGGATGAGAAGGTGTCGTTTCCCTGAGCGCCTCCTGAAGGTGGCGCGTCTCCAGCTGTGGATTCATGTTCTCATCAGAGTGAAAGCTCCTCAGCATGCTTAAGTGAGTTCACACATAGGGCAAGCAGGGCAATTATCCTTAATGGCGGAAGGTATAACCCCATGAATATGTGCAATCATGTGCTTGTGAGCCGGAGAGACGAGGGAGGCAGGAGACACGAACACTGAAGCTTGTTGACCCAGCCGAAGCAGATCGGATGTTTAGGTTCCTCAAGTAGCGACTGATGAATTTGATCAGTTTGAAGTGTGAGTCGATATGAGTCAGATACACTTAAAGGTGATTTAAACTGATTATTTAAAGCATTTATTCGTCATTATCACGCTTTGGATGATTGCAATGATACACTTAGAGTGAAAAGTGTCGTTGCTCATGGAACATATTAGCGTTATCAAAGAGACTCAGCTTCCTTCACATTAAAGGAATAGTTTAACAGTTTTGGAATTAAGCCTACGGGTGTTCTTTTGTAGATGACAAGATAACCAGGAGGTGGTTTTCTCAGCTCTTCTTTAGAACCGGAAGAGACTGATACAAGGCCTACGTCTTTGTTCATTCTGAACAAAAAATGAACTGCGGTTTTTAGTGAGAATGATACTGATCTTCTCATCTCACTCTCGGCACATTTCCCAAAGTTTCAGAATGTTGCTTTAAAACAGTAAATTGGAAGTTTTATATGGGATGTTGCTGGGATCAGAAACCTGACAGGGCGCTGGACTGTTGAAAAGATGATGGAAACTCCATCCTAGACTGTCTAAAAAATATTAGACACTGAGGATTAGTCAGTCCACCTCCTCATCCAGTTACAGTCGATGATCTAAACACTCAAACTGGGACAAGTGTCATATGCCAAGACAACAACTCTGCTTCCTGGACTTAAAGCAATCAACCTTGTGACAGATGAGTCATTTAAACATTTCCTGGGTTTTGTTAAACACAAACAAACAATCATTGTTTGAGCACACACACACACACACACATACACACACACACACACATATATCTATATATATGTATATGTATATCTACCTCGTAGTGATGATTATGTATGAGGACAGGAGCAAAGGGGAAACAGAAATGGAATCACGTCTGTCTGAATATGGAAATAAATGTCACTGTATTTGATGATGGAGGATGAGTAAACGGGGGATTTTAAGAGAGTTGCCAGTCAGCCGTTAATTAGTCCGAGCCTTTATTGCCCTGCCTGAGATCAGTGACTGCGCAGACAAAGGAAAACTTCATCACACGCAGGATTTAAATGACAGAATGAGGTTTGCAGGGAGAGCGCTCTGTAGCTATATATATACCTGCACTGATGTAGGACAGAATCCAGGTGTGGTCACCTGGCATTCAGATGTGTTCTACCATATAGTGCTGAGAGCATCCAGGACAATACAGCATGAAGGAAGCACGCTGAGGCTTGAAATACGCACAAGCAGCCTCACCAAGCGCTATCACATCTTCTTCTAAAGAGATAGTGTGAGAGACAAAGTGTTTTTCTGACACGGACGCTGATCTCATTTGAGATCACTACACAGTAAAGTGAAGAGAGCGTACTGATTAATCGCCTCCTATCATCATCAACACAGACTTCCTGCTCATGGTTTACTTTTCCACTTAATCTCAGTCATAAAAAGAATTGTAGTAAAGCCTAAAATGTGATAGTGTGTGAAGATATCAGTCACTGAACTGTCCACAGGTGACTGACTGGGCTCCAAAAATAGACTGAAAGTGAAACTGCTACGTCATTTTCTGTAACATCCCGAAGCACTATGCAAAGTGACCGTAATAAAAATGTAAAATATCAGGAGGATAAGTTGCAACACAGGGAAAACCAAGTAAAAAAAAATAAACATATACATGATAAACAGAGACACTAACCTGTTGCAAATGATCCGTCACCTACCATACAATACATTTCCTCCCTGGAGACGTTTTCTCACTTGCTGCTCCGGCTGACAGCCACTCCTGCCTCCACTGAGGTGTCCTGTAGTGTAGTGTGTCGTGTAGGTGCTGTAGTCCTCGGGGTTGTCTTCTCTCTCTGGATGGTGTGTGTTAAGGTGTGTGTGTGTGTGTGTGTGTGTGTGAGCGCACTGAGCAGCAGAGGAGTTATGAGATGGAGATGCCTCTGAGAGCTCAGCCCTCTCTCTCTCTCTCTCTCTCTCTCTCTCTCTCTCTTTACGGTCAGTGTGAGCTGTTCATCCACTGCTCTGCCAGAGTCATTATTGTAACTGTGAGTCAACATAGGCACCCACACACACACACACACACACACACACACACACACACGGACACACACACAGACAGACTTCACACAGACTGCACTGCACATCTTTAAATTTACAGCAAGTCACGAAGGATGTAATCGGTGAAGATATGGGTGTTTTGCAACCTTTACAAACATGTCCCCACGTGACAAATACCCATAATGCACAGAGAATTTACAGTACGTAACAGCTCACTCTCTCTCTTTCTTTTTCTCACCCACAAACATTACACACCCAGCATGACAAAGCATCCTTGTTCTAACCAACACCAACAAGCAATTACTCTATTTACACACTTCATCCGCGTAAGCCTTTAGATTTATTGGCTCCACGCTCTAAAATGCTTTGAAAATACCACCCGGCAGTACTTTTTCCTTTATTTTAGATCTGGATTAGACTCCTGACCTCCTTCAAATTAACTAACTAAATTGCACGTAGAGAAAAGAGGAACACGGCTTTGATAAAGCAACCACACAGTGAAGTTATTAACAGAACAACGTGGCTTAAACAAACAAGGCTCTGTAACTTCCCCCATTAGTGCGACCACACAAACTGGGAAAGTCCCCGGGCTGAGGGGGGAACAAGAGGGATGATAGTATCCGTATGGACGTGGCAGGTGAGAGGGCGCGACTCACTGAGCAGGAATCTCACCCCGCATTCCTCTCTCGTGACGGGAAATGGAATAATTGCGCGCCCGTCAAACACCAAAGTCATGGTCCACTCAAACACATGCATGCAGGAGCCCAGCCCCCATGGCCGAGCACGTGCTTCCTTTCCCAATATCCGTTCCTATACGGTGAGTCAGCTGACCACAGGATGACTCTCTCCCTCTCTTCCTTTCATCCGTCCATCCTGAAGATGCCAAAGGAAGTGGCTGTGAGGGCTGAGTCACGTCAACTTCTCACCCTGATTTCACCACAAAACCCTCCTCTTCCTCTTCCACCTCCTCCTCCTCATCACTACAGCAGCATCCTCACTGTGATGCAGCTGTCAGCCATCCACCTTCCTCCCACAGAGCGTGTGCACCTGTTATCACCCCCTCCACCTCTAACCTGACGCCTCCCACCGTCCTTTCACTTTCCTGACTCCTTCCAGCTGTGCGTTAAGCCACAGCAGAGCGAGGAATGCCTCTCTGGATGTCCCGCTGCCAGCCTCCGCCTGCGATCCTGACCATCCTCGTACAATCCCTAATCCTCACCGCCGGAGGACAACTCTGCAGTAAAGACTCAGATGGACTGAAAATATCTGTCCTCTCTTCACCCTGATGCTCTGCTTCTCTCCCTTCTTCTTCTTCCCTCTCTCTGTTTGTGGAACTTTGAAGACAGACACGAGGTATACTGAGACTGCTTCAGTGCAGATCCTGCAGTCACGATCCAGCCTGCTGAACTGATGAATGCCCAGCGGTACTCGATGCAGAGCTGGATCAAAATAGCAAAATTGTTTGCATTTGTACTAGTGTGTAAAACATAAAGAAGAAGTGAAATAAAGGAGCAGATTGACATTTTGATAAACGCACTCTTTAATAGTCTTGCCATGAGTTAACCCTTTATTTTCTGAAAAAAAACCAAAACAAAACATCTTCAGTGAGCAGCATCTACTATAAGGCCAAAATAAACAACTTTAATCTTAATGGATCAGAGACACGTGGGAGAATTTGGAAATCCAGTAAGTCCTCTTGTCCCCATCAGTAGGCGAGAAGATTGACATTTTTACTTCAGTCTAATTAAAACAGTAAAACAGAGCTAATAACAGCCACAGTGAGTCATTGAACTTGTTCTAAAAATTCTCAACTGCAACTTAAACCAGACTGGATGCAACAGAAATAGAGCCCAAAATGCTCCATCAATTTTAATCACAGTGGCACAACACTGTAAAAAAAATGTCTTAAACACTGTTGATCATGCTATTTTACAGATTTTCCCTGATTTGCTAAATTGCAGATAATATCTAGTAAAATCAACATAATAGTAATATACATGGTAAACCTCCCCAAAACAGGCCTATACTGTAAATACAGCATGAATACAATTATTTCATTATCATGTGCAATGTAACGTCAGAATTAGCCTCTAAGTGAGCATAGTAAAGCATTTAGCTGCTCAAGTGTGTGTAGCTGGTAGAGACCCAAACCAGAGCTAAAAGAGACACAATATTGAACGTACATCCATCGGTTGACCACAAACACGCTTTCAAATGGATGATTTTGCTTCGTGTCTTCTGTCTGCTACATCAACATCAACAGGGGCCTGTTCTGTAAAGTGTGCAAAGAAAAATGGGGATTAAACTCTTAACACCTGACTTGAATGAACATAACAAACTAGGTGGAACTAAAGTGATTCCATACAGGTCAATTCTAGGTCAAGCAATCAGGCTAATTTGAAGCAGGTTCATGTGAGATAGCTTCAGGCACATTGCTTTACTTAAGCAACCTGACAGACCAAATGGATCCAAACAGCAGTGGTACAGAGAGCAGCGATGTTTACGGCCACCGACTGACTGGTTCGGAACATCAAAGAATGAGGCATCGCGCCAGTGAGTCAGTGGTAAAATCTTGGCTATGATATAAGCCTGACTTTGGCTGCACATTTCATGTGGCTTTCTTCTCCCCGCCCCCTATGTACGTGTTATTGTTTTCAAAATCCCCTTCACTATGGGAAACAACAACAACAACAACCTCTGAGCAGCAACCTGCCACACTCAAAATTTCCACACGGATCTTGTTATTTAGAAGTCCTGCTAGTTTTTATTTTCATGTATTTGTTACATTTTGTTTGGACTCCTGTTGTGCATCCATTGCTTACATCTCACCTGTATGACTGTGATAGGTTTAAAAAAATACAAACACGCCAAAGTTTTTCCCCCTAAAGCACACTGATAATGAAGACAGACCATCCTGTGCTGCAGAATGATCTGGCTATGTGAGACTAGTGTTATGGTAACTCTGCCTAAGCAACAACTAGTTAGTTATAAAGTTAACTAGTTAGGTAGATACTTAACCTCCAATTTCACTGATCTTGAACTATATTGAGTTTACTGTATGGAACCAAAATAACCTGACAGTAAGTCAGACTAACTGAAATAAGCCTGGTTTATTTAGAAAACTTTTTTTTATGCAACAGACTCCAGCTGATTATAGTACATCAGTATTGTGTTTATAACTTGTTTCTGCTGCTGTCAAGTGGTCAAAAATAGTTTTGCATGTTCGAAGCAAGATATGACTTGCAGATTTAAGAGGCACCAGCTTCTCTGTGTATGTTACGATATTAAAAAGTGCATGAGTAGACTGGACAGACAGCAAAGTGGGGATGTGGAGTGTGTGGTTGGGGGTGAAAAGGGTGAATAAAGAGGAAGGACAGAACTGATGACTGTGGGATGTCAGCAGGCAGGAGGGAAGATGTGTTAGGAACACGTTCTCTGTGCTTTGAAGAAAAAATGAAGGTAATATATTGAATGTATTTGAAAACTAACCACTAAATGGTAAGTTTGCAAAAGCAGGCACAGAGTTCCTGTATGTGTCTGAGCAGAGGATTTTGTTGCACTTGTGGTTGAACATGACCTGTGGCCTGTGGGATTGTTCAGGTATTATAGCATCAGACGTCACACTCGCCGTCAGGTCCTGTGGGCAAAGCGACAAGAGAAAACATTCAAAAAAACAAGCAGAGTTATGTAACAATCCTAATCGAGTAGTCTGCAGGCTACAGATACGTCCTTGGTAACAATCACTATAGCACCACCAAAGAAAAGGACAGGATTGCATAACGACAAACTCAGCGCCTTCTAAAAGTAAATGCAGCACATCTGAACGTACATACGGTACATGCAGTCCAGGTGAAGGAGCTGAGACTCACAGCTTTATTTCTCAGCCACCAAAGCCATGATTAAATGAACATATATGAAACTATTCAGCTTGAGAGGACAGTTGAGTTTTTTCAGCTAAGCCATATGCACACCTCCCACGCTGACGGCAACAGAGACAAACAGTTTCCCTTGAAAGAAGCATAGAGTCCTTAATTTTGTAACATGTATCCAATGATGAGTGTTGATGTGACGCTGCTGAAGACAATTCACCCGCCAGTGGTCTTTATGTAGGTGTAATGCGAGGTATTTTGTGGTGTTTCTGAGAACACTGAGTGGGTGATAAGGTTACAGTGATGGGCTTTTCTCTGTGGAATGAGATACTGGGCACACACACAATCACACACTCGCCTCCTTTTCCTTGTTGTTTTTATTTCATTTCGTCCCTCATTATACACTCTATCGACCTCCCAGTTGTAAAGGCCTGCGGGTGCGTCCTTTAGAGAAATCTAAATGCTACGTTTTTTTCTGTCTTTTCATCCTCACAGAAGCAAATACTGTTTGAGAATACATGGATGTAATTAAAAACATACAATTAGATTCTTTTGATGATACTACAAAAGCCAGGATTAATCACAGAAACCAAGTTTTACACATTTTCAACAGTTCGTCAGTGTTGAAAAACAGGAGTTGATATTAGATGTGATTATGGACATTGCAATAATACAATGCAATGACTTGACACCAATTAAGCAACAGTATGGTTGCTTTTTAATTATTTAAGTCTGAAAAAACTCTTGAAATTACACCAGTATACTATAAATACACAATTTTGGAAAACTTCTGAACTCCGACCTTCATGTCTGAGATTTTTTTCAGCAGTTCAAACAGGACAGCTGAAATCTATTCAGTCACTTCACACTGGATAAACAGTGAAGTGAAAAATAAAATGTCACTTCAGTCAGATTATCTCAGCTGGTTTTGGTTGAACATTATGTTGCCATAGCAACAACAACTGTCACAGCGTCGTTTATCCTCACTTTAAATGCCCCGTTTGACCATTATCTGCTGGTACCCCACTTATCGTTGCTATTTTGTGACTGTTGTTTGCAATTTGTGATGCTGAGTTAGTCTTTCTGTAACATAGCTAGTCAGCATTCTCACTAATTGTTTATTTACTTTTAGGCAAGCAGGTCTGTGTTTTAATCTTTTTACTCTTTTTTTTCAAGATTAATTACTGTCTCGTCCTTCCTGGGGACTCAATGTTGTTTTTAAGTGCAGTTTTTTTTTTTTTTTTTAAATTCTTTCTGGCATCAAAGTAAAGCAATAATTAAGGCAACAGTTTTGTAAATCTCATTACCGTACAAGTGTTTTCCTATATTTTATGAAGCTTGTTTAAAACAGAGTGTTTAATTCATTACAGTAATTCAGACATTCAGGTTGTGTTTGAGGCAATGAAAGTGTCATTGAAGTCTTTCAGCTGAAAAAAAAAAAAAAACTCACTGAAGGAGAAGAAAAATGTCCTTTTTTTTCCACAGCTACAGAATTTCATTAAGCTTGCTGTGTTGAACACTGACAACAGAAACGATCAAAAATAAACGCATCACAATAAAAATATGTTCTGCAGATCCGCAGCAGGTGAACTGAATGGCTGCAGAGGATCAGGGAGATGAAAGAGTCAGACCTCACGTTGTTCTGACTCGTGGCTCTCTCACACTCAGGCGATCTTCTTTTCTGACTTAGAGAAAAGGTTAAAAGTCTAACTTCGACTGATGCGGTCAGAAAGAATTGCTTTCAGTCAGTGGTGCACAGGGAGTTTGGAGCTGTTCAGCTGGTGACAAATTCTCAACCATTTGATTCAATCCGCACTCTGCTCAGGGCCAAAGCCTGAATGTCCACAAATAAAGGCATTTGCTATCAAAGATGTGATGTATCAGACAACATGATAAAACACACAATCTGCTACATGATGCTCTGGATATCCAGCTATGTGACCTTATCCCCCTAAATGTCCATCAGCTTTGCTAAACCCTTCAGGAAGAGTGAGACAACCACAAGCTGTCCTGGACAAATTATTGCACTTTGCTGATGAGCAGTGAGCTAAAATCAGAATACCTGTCATCAGGTGCAGAAGTCTGATTGAGAGTTACAGAAAAGACCTGATTGCAGTGATTGGCTCAAAGGGTTGTTCAACAAAATTCAAATTAAATTAGTTTATGGGTCCCATCATGCTTGTTTGCCTGTTGTTGTTGTTGATGTTAATGCTTCTGTTAAACCACAATTCAAAAGCAATGTCATGATGTTCATTCCATTTTTATTTATTATTCCGTTTGTCAATTTCAAGTTATTTCAGTGACAGCTGTTTTTTTCCTTCTTTAATGGGAGGGCATGAATACAATTGGGGACGACTGTATAATCTCTCAGCAGTGAAAACTAAACCTGAGAGGAGGGTGAAATAGCACCAGCCAGGCAGCAGCCGGTTACTGCTGGTGACCCTGGTCCTCTCCAAGCAGATCGACATACAGGCCCGAGCCAACACCCAGAACTACTTGAGCATCACGGAGTCTGTTCACTAAAGAAGTACAAGCGGAAGGGAGGGCAGGAAGAGAGCAAAATGGCCCTCTGAGCCAAGAGGAAGGACCGTAACATTAAACCTGCAGCCGTGATGTTTAAGGTCGTACAATAAGCCGACAGTAACAGGCAAGCAAAAAGGCAACTTAGCATGCAAGATGTATCTAGCTATGCTGCTAAATGTGCCACAGCAGTCACTTTGTGCTTAGTAAGTCTGTGTGTCGACTGTTTGATGAGGCTGGTTTATATTTGAGCTTGTATGAGTGAACATAAAGGTCGTTTAGAGCCAAAAATATGACTCATTACTTCTAACTGTTGGTAGGCCCATTTATATTACTGACACCTTTCATGATTCACAAAATGATTTCATCCACTGATAATAAAACAAGTCTAAGTAGTCCTGCTAGCAGCTCTGTGAAGGTTGTGACATTTAAAAAAATACAAAATTAAAAATGTGACAGTGGTTCTATTTGAGATATTTCACTCACAGGCACTAATACTGACCTGTAGGTAACACTAACACCCAGGGGATCATCAAATTCAGTAGGATTCACCCTCTGGAGACCACGAATGTCTTTGCACGGTGTAGATAGTAAAGATATTTAAGTTAACATTTGCATGTTTGTTGTTGCTTAAAATGGTCAGAATTTGCAGGCGTAAGTCACCAAACTGAGAATCTGTTTAGCAGTTTAGTAATCAAACCATAAATTCTGTGAAATGACAAAATTCCTCAGCAGTTAACCAGCATAAACCAACAAATAATTTCTCGAGATGTTATGAAAACACAAAGGTGCAAGCCTCCATGTTTGCATTTTTTTTGCAGGAGATGTTTGGTATCCATTAGATAGTATAAATAGATCAAACGCTCACAAAAACCCAATGCTATTTTCAAAAGCCATGGGTGTACTCGAACGTAATTACATAATGTTTAACACACACGCTGCTCTTGTGCATAAACACAAGCAGCCACAGATAAACAGAGTTGAGCCGGCCGCTGCTTCCTCTGTGGCTAATGAAAGAACTTGACGTCAGGTCTGGTGTGCAGACCACAGCTTCACTTCTGTTTTATTTTCCTGGCTGTTGGTGCGCATTGAGCTGCTGTTCTGCGCTGCAAAAGAAAAACAAGCACTTAACGTCGCCCTCAATACGTCAGAAATTCTTGTTTTGTATTTTTGACGTGACGTTAATCAGTTGCAACGTCTGATAAATTCGATTTGTCAAACTTTCTCAAACTGCCGATTTCAAGCAATTTGCAGTCAAAGCAGAAACATGCTACCTTAAAGGCTCAAAATAAGAGAGCTAAATGGTCAAAACTTGAATTTCAACATGTAAATGTGCAGACACATGCCAAGGTAACTTTAAAATGTCAAAGTTTTCAGAAGAGCCAGCCTTGATTTTATCTGAACAACCCATCGATACTAAATTTATTCCTGACGTTTTCATGGCTGCAGAGTCTTCCTGTCACGTATAAGGAGCCTGTTATCCTTTAATCTATTCTCTTGCATGCAAATAGTCAAAATTAGAGTTTTCTGGGGAAATATAACAGTGTCTGTGCACACATGCGCAACCACACATACATGCAAACACCCACTTCCTTCTCGGTTGAAGCGGGACATGATGTACCTAAAATCACATGAGACCAGCACTTACACGCTATCAGGAACAAAATGTAAGACCTTCATTTAGCCGCACCATGTTTTCTTTGTTTGTTTTCCTTTTTTTCTTTTTTCTTTTTCACCAAACGTAGAACCAGAATGACTCACTCACTCACACTAGTCACTGTTAATAATACTGATATCCTGGCACAGAGGAGTGTTGTAGTGAATGTAACTAATCACACTTCAAGAAGTGCTGTACTAATAATAAGCACTGTGGTGAAACACTTCTACTTTACTGGCAAGTTTTTTCCATTTACAGCTATTTCTACATTTCAGGAACAATTATGGCGGCT